AAAGTCCGTCGACTAGCGTTGAGGGTGATATCACTACACCAGAAGTGCAAAAAACTATCCTCTCCTGCGAGGGCGACACCCTTTCACATAACTGTGGACGTTTCCCGCTAGACAAATGACACCCCTTTCGCTCCAGTCATCCGAATAGAGCTGTGCTCCTTCAGTATTCCTCGGTCGCTCCTTGCCCTGCTTCCAGTAACGGTGTTTATCTTCAAGATAAACTGTACCCTCATCTCCGTGGTTCCTGGTCCTTGCCGTGTGGGGAAAATGGTAGCGCCGCTGCAATAGCGTGCCAATTCCTCCGCTCAGGAAGTGCACGAGGCTGTAGTACCTGAGTGGTGTCTCCATTTTCGGCCCGCACTTTCCTCAATATGCAGAATTTGTATCGATACCAAAGCAGAAGCACACTGGTAGACGGTAGCCAGAAGCAGCCAGATAGCGTCCTAGGAGTCCGGCCATGACGTGTGCTTGGGCGGGCGGGGTCTGGGACTGTATTTGGGCATAGCTAGCTCCCGGTCCTGTTCCCGTGCACTTTTGTGAAGGGAAAGTGGCACGCTGCTGCAGCTGCGGGCCCATACGCGTGCCGGTACCTGCGTGCCGCTACCTGCAGTGCCGTTATGCGCATAGTCCACACTCATCATGCTCATACAGCCAGCGTAGACTGTGCCTCTGTTAGTCTTGCTCATGCCTACCATGAACAGAAGTCAGATCAGTGGCGCAAGAAAAGAGCCTCCCCGGTAATAAACACTGCGTTTATTATTCTGTCTTAGGCCGCGTTCATAGCTTGCGACCATGAAGAAAGTGAAGAAGTGCCGAAAGTGAAGAAGTGCCGAAAGTGCGGAAAGTGCGGAAAGTGAAGAAAAGCAATAGATACGTATCGATTTGAAGAAAGTGAAGAAATGCCGAAAGTGCGGAATCTGAAGAAATGCCGAATGTGAAGAAAAGCAATAGATATGTATCGATTTGAAGAAATTGCGGAAAGTGCGGAAAGTGCGGAAAGTGCGGAATCTGCAGAAAGTGAAGAAAAGCAATAGATACGTATCGATTTGAAGAAAGTGAAGAAATGCCGAAAGTGCGAAAGTGCGGAATCTGAAGAAATGCCGAATGTGAAGAAAAGCAATAGATATGTATCGATTGAAGAAACTGCTGAAAGTGCGGAAGGTGCGGAAAGTGCGGAATCTGCAGAAAGTGCGGAATCTGCAGAAAGTGAAGAAAAGCAATAGATACGTATCGATTTGAAGAAAGTGAAGAAATGCCGAAAGTGCGGAAGTGCGTAATTTGAAGAACTGCCGAATGTGAAGAAAAGCAATAGATATGTATCGATTTGAAGAAATTGCGGAAAGTGCGGAAGGTGCGGAAAGTGAGGAATCCACAGAAAGTGAAGAAAAGCATTAGATACGTATCGATTTGAAGAAAGTACGGAAAGCGCGGAAAGTGCAGAAAGTGCGGAATCTGCAGAAAGTGAAGAAAAACAATAGATACGTATCGATTTGAAGAAAGTGCGGAAAGCGCGGGAAGTGCAGACGTACTCATTGATTTCCATGTCATTTGTTGTTTTCGGCTTTA